ATCAGCCCTCCAGGGGCTCCCAGGCTGGTATAGGAGATAAACAGGGCACAGACAGTTCCAGTCTGGAGGGGATCCGAGGGAGGAAGAGGGACTGTAGAAGGACTAGGCCTGGAAAAGTCAGGGAGGGCTTCCTGGAGGAGGGGGCATTTGCATTGGGAATTAATGTATGAGTAAAGTTTGCCAGGTAAAGATGGGAATACATTCATTCATTTTACAAACATGTCCTGAGGCATTGTGTGGGTTGGTTGTTCAAGGATGATTCATGCATTTATTCATTCAATACGTCTTTGTTGGGACTTCCTTGGCAGTCCAGTGGTTAAGATTTCACCTTCCAATGCAGGGGGTGCAGGTTCAATCCCTGGTCGGGGAGCTAAGATCCCACATGCCTCAGGGCCAAAAAACCAAAACATAAAGCAGAAGCAATATTGTAACAAATTCAATAAAAATGGTCCACATCAAAAAAAAAATTTTGTTTAGGCAAAATAATACAATGGTTAAGACTTCAGATTCTGGAGTCGGTCAACCTGGATTCTTTTCTGAGTTGTTTCATTTACTGAATGGCTCATTTATTTAAGTTTGCCTCAGCTTTCCCCCTTGATAAAATGAGGACAGCAATAGTATTGTCCTCACAGGGTTCTTGGAAGAATAAATTTAAATGATGCATGTGAAGGTCATAGCACGTTGCCCCATACGTAGTTGACATTTCATTCCTGCCCTTAGCTTAGCATGAACCTCTCAGAGACCCTACATGCAATGAAGGTGATACCTGACTTAGTCTGTCATAGTCAGAGAAGGGTTTCTGGGGAGGGTGGCACTCAGTCGGGTTCTGAAGCTTGAGTAGGAGTTTGTTGGCTGGAACAATAGGGTCAAGTCCAGAAAGAGGAAATGGCAAGGACAAAGGCTGGGTGTGTGCATGTGTGCATGAAACCATGTGGCTTGTTCTAGGAGCTCCAGAGCAGAAGGAAGGGAAGTGATGAGCTAGGCAACTGGTGATGTGGGTGGAGCCCCAAAAGCTAGGGCTGCAAATGTCAGGCTGAGGAGCTCAGACCTCATCCTGGGGGCAACGGGAAGACAGCGCCCAAGCAAACAAGCTGATCCTTCGGTTCACAGATGGGGAAACTGAGGCCCATGCTCAGACCCTGTGTGGTGGTCCCTCTGATTTCCAGCTCTCTGATTTCTAGCCACTTGTGAGCCTCCCCATCCTGGGTCCTCCAGGGGAGACCAGGCCTCCCGCTCCTGCTCAGACGCCCTGGAAGACGCCTGCCTCCCACCTGCTGGTGGGCTCAGGATAACGAGGAAACGGAGTGGGGAAACTGAGGCCCGCAAACAGATCAGGACCCCCGAGTTAACATCCCGGCCTCTGAGGTCACAGATACAGGTGCAAATCCAGGCTTGGTCTCTCTTTTGTCTGCTTTGATTTTGAGCAAGTGAGTCTCCTCCTCTGAGCCTCAGTTTCCCCATCTGAAAAGTGGAGCTGTGAGAGTAGCCACCTCGGGACTTCCCTGGCGGTCCAGTGGTTAAGACTCCACGCTCCCGATGCAGGGGGCATGGGTTCGATCCCTGGTCAGGGAACTAAGATCCTGCATGCCGCAAAGCACGGCCAAAAAATAATAATAATAAATAATAATAATAATTAAAAAAAATAAGAGTAGTCACTTCGTGGGGCTTGGCACAGCCAGGATCCTGCAGTCCTTGAAAGATACGGGCTTCCTGAGAGGTTGGAGAATACCAGGGGTGAAGTGCACAAGGCTGGAGCAAGCCTCTAGTTCTGGGAGTGGTTTGATGCGATGATGCATTAAGGACAGGAAAAGGGGTGCAGAGGAGGGGGGCTCAGACCTCCCAGGGTCTCCACTCTAGGCTGAGGGGCCGGGACTTTGGCCAGGGGTACTGGGGAGCCATGGGAGGCCTGTGAGCAGGGGAGGGGTAGGTCTGCTCTGCACTGGATGGGATAACTGGAGGCAGGGAGGGCTGGGAGGAGGCTGGGCTGAGGGTCCAGCCAGGTGAGATGAAGGCCTGCACGGGGCCAGGGCGACGGGGACGGGGCAGAGAGGATCAGAGCGAGACTGTGAGAGGTGAGGGGAAGCAAGGGAGAGAGGACAGCGCCCCGGGTCTGGGTGGATGGGGGGGCCGTCCCTGAGATGGAGGACACGGGGAAGTTGGTGGGGGGCGGGGTGTGGGACTTGCTAACGTGGAGGCCTGTGGTTCCCAAAAGCATCATCAAGCCCTTGGAGGACCCTCTGGAGACTTGGCAGCCGTCACCCGCTGGAGCCCTGTGCCCACCGGGGACGACCCTCTTCCTCCTCTACTCCCTGGCCGTCCTCATCTCCTACCTCCTGGTGATCCAAGGGGCAGGGCCCCCCTGCCTCCCCCTTTGTCCGCAGACTGGTTTGGCCACCAGGCCATGGCCGATGCCGCCTTCACTGTTCTCCTGCCCCTGCCCCTCACCTGGACGCTCCCCGGCTGGCCCCTGGGTGGCATCTTCTACCACCTGGACCCCGGCCTCGTCTTCCTGACATTCTACGCCAGTGGCGGCCCGCTGACCCATGCGGCCGCCGACCGCTGCACCTCTGCGCTCCAGCCCACCTGGGCACAGAACCATCGCACAGCCTGGAGGGCAGTTTTCTGGGCCGGGGGTTTTGGGCTCCTTCTTCTGGTCCTGGGCACATCAGCCCTGTGAACCCTGAGGGGCCAGGTGAACCGGGCCGACGCTTTTAACAAGACGCCTGTCGGGGAGCCTGCCCAGCCATCTTCATCCTCCAGCCCTGCACTGAGTCAGCGGGCGTTCAGCTTTGGGGTGCACTGGCGGTGCTGAGTGCCTTCCACAGCCTCCTGAAGGCCAGGCTGCAGCTGGCGAGGCTCACAGGGCGGCCCCGGCTGCTGGGGGTGCCACAGCCACGGGGGCCGTGCTGTTTCTCTGCTGGTTTCCCTTCCCCCTGCTGCTTCTGTTGATGCTGGTGGGGATGTGAGAGGACCAGGCGTTCAGGCAGCTCCTGTGCTGGGCGGGTCCTCTGGTGCCGCCAAGTGGGGTAGTCTGAGGGGGGACGGGTGGGGTCTGGCACTGGGGAGGGAGGCCCAGGTGTCCCGCGGGGACCGGGAGGGAAATTCCTGGGGGGCGGGGTTGGGGACATTTAGGGAGAGTGTAGGGGGGGGGTCTCCCACCTTATCAAACTCCAGAGAATGTGAGATGCTGAGAGAGACTGAAATTTAGAGATGGGGACAGGGACCCGGGGTGGGGCGCAGGGGCCCAGAGAATGGGGAAAAAGGATGCAAAGAGAAAGCAGGCCAAGTGAAGGAAGAGATGCAGAGAGGGAGAAACGGGCACCGACGCAGACGTGACAGCATCACACAGACGCGGTGGCAGACGGAGGCCAAGGCAGGGAAGGGACGCGAGAGACAGGTCAGGCTGCCGGGAGGGACCAAGTGGGAGACAAGACAGGAAAAGATACAGAGACAAAGACCCAGGAGGAGGTGGAAAGGAACTAGACTCTGACTGAAGGAGAGGAGAATGAGTGGGGAGAGAGACAGATGGACAGGGAGAGACAGACAGACATACAGACAGACATGGGCCTGGATCTAAAGACACGATTATAGACATGGGCTAGGAACCTGCAGCCAACCGTCCTGGTTATGCCGGGACTTAGCAATACAATATCTGGGCTATGGGGCTTTCGGAGCTAAAACCAGGAAAGTCTCATGCACGCTGGGATGCCGTGGTCCCTGCAGGTGGAACCGAGTAACACAGGACAGCCACCGGATGTTCTGGGTCTCCAGGACACTGGCTATCATTCGTCTTGTCTTGCTGCCTTTTGAAATACGCACGTGCCTCCTAACCATGCCCCCGCCCCTGGAAAAGGATGTTGTTGGTCATCTTTGGTTTTCAAACTCCCAAATGTTTCCCAACTAAAGGTTAATTTTTGCTCCACGTTCTGAGTTGTTTGATGTATCCGTGGCGCTACCTCAGACATGCACTAAGCTCCAAGGGGGAAAATCTATCTCTTCGGTCTTTGGAAAATGCATTATAGCAGATGCCTCTTGACCCTGTCTGCACATCAGGATCTCCGGAGGAGCTTTTAAACTCCAAATCAGTGCCCAGGGCCCATCCCCAGGTGTTGTGGTTTAAGTGGCCTAGGGTAGAGCTGGGCTCTGGGAGTTTCCAAAGCTTGCCAGGAAGTCCCACGGGCAGCGGGCTGAGCCCCACCCATCTCCAAGTGCCTGTGGCTCTGCAAATGCAACCTTGGTAGCTCCCAGGGGGTTGAGAAACCCAGCACTCAAGGGCTGAAAACCCTGGAGGTGGGAGTGGGGAGGAGGGACGCAAAGATCGATTTCTTTGTCAATATTTGTTTGTTTTCCAAACGTTGATAGCCAAGACCCAAGCTGGGGGTCCAGCAGAAGTCAGATTTATTCTGTGCACCCCCTGCCTTAGGCTCCCAGTCACAGCCAAGAAGGGTGGGGAGGAAGTGGCGGGGAGGCGAAGAGAGGCAGGGAGGCTGACTCTGATTGGGAGAGGTTTTTAGGAAGCCTTCCAGGTGGAGCTGACACACAATTGAGGAGGGAAAGGGCACTCCGGGCAGGGAGTACAGCATGTGCAAAGACCCTGGGGTGCGGCTTTTTTTCCTTTAAACCATCTGTGAGTTACATACGTTAAGATATACTACAGAGGGGGCGTAAGAGGTGGGTGCGATTAAAAAAAGAAAAAGACGGGAGGGCGTCAGGTCAAACACAGCTTCCAGGACTTCTCTGGTGGCACAGTTGTTAAGAATCCGCCTGCCAGTGCAGGGGACATGGGTTCGAGCCCCAGTCCGGGAAGATCCCACATGCTGCGGAGCAACTAAGCCTGTGTGCCACAATTACTGAGCCTGCGCTCTAGAGCCCGGGAGCCACAACTACTGAGCCCACGTGCCACAACTACTGAAGCCCGCGCGCCTGGAGCCCGTGCTCTGCAACAAGAGAAGCCACCGCAGTAAGAAGCCCGTGCACCACAATGAAGAGGAACCCCCCGCTTCCAGCAACTAGAGAAAGCCCACAGCCCACGTGCAGCAAAGAAGACACATCGCGGCCAAAAACAAACAAACAAACCCCAAAACACAGCTTCCTATGCCAGGCTGAGGGGCTGGGACTCTTGTCCCAGGGGTGCCGGGGAGCCAAGGGAAGGATAGGTCACCTCTGCTTGTAGAATGACCCCTGAGAAGACTGAAGGAGAGAGATAGGGGGCGCGGCTATGGTCCAGGGAGAGAGGAAGGCCCCTGGGAGAGGGGACTAAGCCTCAAGGACCGCTTACCCGGCTCAGGTCTCGGAATTCTTGTTTTGCGGAAATCGACTTCCCTGCTAGAGCGGGGCTGACCAACTTCTGGCTGGGAACATAGTACAACACCGCCCCTGTGTGGTTATTCTTAGCATTGTAACCAAGGTCTCCTATAAGTAAGACTGTCTTCTAAATCAGGACGCTTAGAAGAGTTAAAGAGGACACTATTACAAATTAAAATTACAGTGAAACTATAAATTCGTTTCTAATTGGAATTTTCTAGGCCTTTCCCAGGAAACCCAGGATGTTCAGTCACCCTACTCAGAAGCTGCCTTTTCAGATCTTGAGGTGAAATGAAATTGTTTGTCTGATGAGAAAAATGGATGAAACTTGACCAAAGGCTGGGGTGTCACCCATGGCATTCCACCTACTGGGGATGGAGACAGGGAGTGGGAAGGAGGCGGCTAGTGAGGGAGCTGGTAACTGACTGTATATCTGGAGGTCTGGACACTTTTATAAGTAAGGGGCATTTACAGTAGGTATTGAAGGCTGAATAGGAGTTTGCTAAGAAAAGAGAAAGATGTGTTGATACAATATAGCAATGAAGACATCACTACAGACCTTTGCAACTTGCAAATTCCATTCGCATCTTTGATCTCAGGCTGTCCTTGCCACGGCCTTCTGGGGCCCACTGGTCCAAGATTTTCACCTTTGTCTGACTGAGAAGAAAACCAAGACTCAGAGAGAAGGAATAAATCTGAAGTACACAGCAGTTTGTGTTGGTACCAGGTGGTGAGTCATCCCTGCTTCTTCTCCTATCTGTGTTTTTGCACTCAAAGTTGGAATGTCCTTCCCCCTCTCTAAACGCTCCTGACAGACTACTCCCCCTCAAAACACAGCTCAGTCTCTGGGCACCTAGCCTCAAACCTGATAGTCTATCCCCCTAGTCTTCACCTTCCCCAGACCCAGGAGTGCGGGCCTCCTGTCTCTGACCCAGAAGCCTGGCCCTCAGACAGAGTTGGCCCGAGGCTGTGTGCCTGCCGGGGTGGTGGGATAGAGCAGGGTGTGCTGATTCAGTCACATTTATTTGGTCTCAGAGGCCACAGTCACGGTCAGGGCAGAGGCAGGGCTCTTGGACTAGGGGTCCTGTGTCTTCTCATTGCTGAGCCTAAGAGAGGAAAAGAGACAGAGAGATACACGGAAACGTGGGACAGGAAGAGAGGCCCGAGATCTAGCCTGCTACCCCCGCCCTCTTCCCGCTCACCTTGTTGAAGAAGTAGATGGAGGTGAGGATGGTGAATACGGCTATGGCCAGGGTCGCATTCTGGGTGGAGGGGTCAGAGGTCAGGACCCATCCCTTCCCTTCCCTCTCCCCACCACTACCCCGGGCCTCCCTCCCCCTGCCGGACCCCTCCTCACTTCCTGAAAATTCATGGCCAGAGGTCTCAGCCGCAGGGTTGCTTGGCCTCTCTCTCCCTTTCCCGGGCCTGTAAGCCAGAGAGGGAGGTGGGCCAGCAGAGCCTGACAGAGGGTCATCTGGGAGACCAGAATGGTGGCCATGGTGACAAGAGAAGGGCATTCTGGGTAAGGGGACCTTGTGGCAGAGGCTTGGGGGAGAGGGGCATTTGGGTACAGAATGTCACATGGAGTATGTGAACTTGGAAGGGGGACATCTGAGATGGGAGAGTCCAGACCTGCAACCCTGGGCGCCAGAAGTATCTTGGAGAAAAAAAAAACAAAATGAAAAAAGAAGAAAAAAAAAAGAAGTATCTTGGAACAGGAAGAGACTGGAAGCCAGAGAGCAGATGAGGTGGCCCAGGCAAAGTTTCCTCCAATGGTATCTGTCAGTTGCAAGATTTAGAGACACAGCAGGGGGAGGACTGAGCCTCCCAGAGCCTGGTCACCAGTTTGGGGGCGGAAGCAGCAGTTATAATGGTAGGACTCGTGGCAGAGGCAGCAGCTTTCCCATCTCTGGGCCACGGGGACAGTGATGTGCCCGAGACTCCCGTGGCCCTCTGGCGTTCCTTGGCTTTTACTCCGCCAGCCCTCCCGGGAGTTTGTAGACCTAAATCTCTTTGGGTCCACCACACCTTTAGAACTAACTTTGGGGTCACCAGAAACACAGAGGACACCAGTGCAGTCAGCCCTCATTATCCGCGATTCCATCTCTGCCCCGAGTGGCTACAGGTTTGAGTCTGAGGACACGCACGTTCCTTTGTTGATCAAGGGGACAATCCTCTGCTCTCTTGTGTCAGCTCAAACAGAGAGCTGCCCAGAGGCCAGAGACAGGAGGGGGCAGTGCTGGGGAGGAGCTCCTGCTCTGGGGCCAGACGGATGGGTTTGGATCCCAGCTCTGGCACCTGTGAGTGGGGTGGCCTGGGGCAAATTTTCTAGTTTGTAAAAAACAAAAAGAAAAAAAGAAAAAGATCTACCAGGATGAGTAGTTTTTTGGATTTAAGATTATAATCTACGTGACACACACACACACATTTTCCCTAGAAGCAATGATTCAGTATTTGCTAATCCCGCGTTCCCGGTGACTTTATGCAACATAAATGCTGGAAATGACATGAATCAGCTGTGAAATGATACCTGAGCGCACCAGCCAGAAAACTCCAGAAGGCAAGACACTGAACAGGGCAACTGGCATGGTCTCTCCAAGTCCGTGTCCCCAAAAAAACCAAGGCAAATGGACTTGCTCTATTTAAACAAATCCATAAGGCAAATGGACTTGCTCTATTTAAACAAATCCATAAGAGACATAAGACCAGATTTGATGGGTGATCCTGAACTGGATTCTGGTTTAGATAACTCAGCTGTAAAGGATATTGGGGGAGATATTGGGGACCTCTGAAAGGAGAGTGGGTATTAGATGAGATGAAAGTGTTATTGACATGGAAAGGAGGAGATTGTTCCAAAATTGCATGTGCGATATGATCTCATTTTGGTAAAAAGTACGTATATTTTTTAAACGTGGGGATTTCCCTGGCGGTCCAGTGGTTAAGACTCTGCGCTTCCACTGCAGGGTGCACGGGTTCGATCCCTCGTTGAGGAACTAAGATCCCAGGTGCCACGTGGTGCGGCAGGGAAAAAAAAAAAGAACGTGTGTGTTGAAAAATCTGGAAGTATGCGCTGTCTCAGTGTTGCAGCAGAAAGCGGCAGGCGCAGCTCAAAAAGGTTTAATTGGAAGGAGTTTAATACAGGGCCCATGTTCAGAGTTGGCAGGACAGCGCAGCACTGGGCTTAGGAAACTTGGGGAGCTGCTGCCACCCAGCTGGGTCTGGATTGAGTCCCACCAAAGATCAAGTCCTCACCCCCGGTACCTGTGAATGTGACTTCATTTGGAAATAGGGTTTTTGCAGATGTAAATCAAGTTAAGATCAGGTCATAACTGGTGTCCTTATAAGAAGAGGAGAGACTCAGAGACAGACACACACACAGGCCACATGATGAGAGTCTGGAGTGACGCTTCTATAAGCCAGGGATTGTCAACAACACCGGAAACTGGGGAGAAGCAGGGAGCAGATCCTTCTTCACAGCTCTCAGAAGGGACCGACCCTGCTGGAACCTTGATTTTGGACTTCTGGCCTCCAGAACTGGGAGACGATACATTTCTGACGTCTAAACCAGCCAGTTTGTTACAGCAGCTCTAGCAAACCAATACACACCTCTAGGCATCAAGGGGTGAGACCCATGTCATCAGAACCTCAAGGGACAGGGGGTTCCCCGAAGGAAGCTATACTGCAGCCAGTACCTCTCATCCTAGGAGTTCCTGCTCCCCTCCCTGGCTGGCCCCAATGGGGATCCAGAGGGCACGGGGGCCAGGATGGAGATGAAGACAGAGGCTTCCTCAAGGGCACAGAGCTGGACAGAGAATGGTGGAAAGTGGATCAGAGGAGTGGGGTGGGCCACCCCTGTATTTACGTGTGTGGCGGGCTGAGTAATAGACCCAAACTGGCCACACCCCAACCCCCAAAACCTGTGAGTATTTCCCTCACCTGGCTTAAGGGACTTTGCAGAGGTGATTACATTAAGGATCTTGAGACGGGACTTGTCTTGGTCTGTTTGAGCTACTGTAATAGAACACCATAGACGGGGTGGCTAACAAATAACACAACTATATTTCTCACAGCTCTGGAGGCTGGAAGTCCAAGATCAAGGTGCTGGCAGATTTGGTGTCTGGTAAGAGCCTGCTTTCTTGTTCATAGATGGCCAATTACTCGATGTGTCCTCATGTGGTGGAAGAGACCAGGGAGCTCTCTGGGGTCTCTTTTAAAAGGGCACTAATCCCATTCATGAGGGCTCCACCCTCATGACCTAATCACCCCAAAGGCCCCACCTCCTCATACCATCACCTTGGAGGTTCGGGTTAAAACATATGAATTTCGGGGTGGGGGACTCAGGAAGTGGGCTGACAAGACATCTTTATTGAAAGTACATTACCATGGGGACTTCCTTGGTGGTCCAGTGGTTAAGACTCTATGCTTCTAATGCAGGGGGTGTGGGTTTGATCCCTGGTCAGGGAACTAAGATCCCACGTGCCACGCAGCCAAAAATAAAATAAAATAAAGAACATTGCCATGGGGCCAGCCTCCAGCATAGCCCCCAGTGAGTCTCACCTCCTGGAGTTCATATCCCATGTAGTCTCCTCCCTCATGGAATAGGGTCAACCTGTGTAAATAGTGGAATATGGTGGAAATGGCAGAGGGTGACTTCTGAGGCTGGGCTATAAAAGACACTGCTATGCCTTGGGTTAGTCACTCTGGGGGAAGCTGGTGGCCATGCTGTGAAGATGCTCAAGCAGCCCTATGGGAGGCCCGTGTGGTGAGGGGGCTGAGGCCTCCTGCCAACAGCCACATCAGTAAGCTTGGAAGTGGCTCTTCCAGTGCCAGTCGAGTCTTCACGTGACTGCAGCCCTGGTGGATATTTGACTACAATCTCATGAGAGACCCTGAGCCAGAATCACCCAGCTAAGCCACTCCCAAATTCCTGGCCCACAAAAGCGGTGAGAGATAATAAATGGCTACTGTCCTACCCCGTTAAGTTTTTTTTTTTTTTTTTTTGCGGTACGCGGGCCTCTCACTGTTGTGGCCTCTCCCGTTGCGGAGCACAGGCTACAGACGCGCAGGCTCAGCGGCCATGGCTCACGGGCCCAGCTGCTCCGCGGCATGTGGGATCTTCCCAGACCGGGACACGAACCCACGTCCCCTGCATCGGCAGGCGGACTCTCAACCACTGCGCCACCAGGGAAGCCCCCATTAAGTTTTAGAGTGATTTGTTACACAGCAGTACATAACCAACACTATTTAGTACTTACCCTGAGAAATGCTGTTCTAAGTGCTGAATATATTTGAACTCATTAATCCTGAAAGCAACTCTCCAAGGAACAGACTATGCTTGTCCCCATTGTATGAATGAGGAAACAGAGAGATGCAGTAACTTGCCCAAAGTCACACAGCTTATATATGGCAAAGCTGGGGTTTGAACCCAGCCTGTCCAAACTCCAGGGTGTGGGTGTTCAACCTCTGGGCCATGCTGGCTTTGGCCAGCTGTGGGTGGCACTGGAAGAAGTCACCAAGAAGTCCAAGAGAGCCTCAAAGAGCCCCAACATTTAAGGGGTGAGAAAAAGAACAGACGTGGCTGGTGGAGTGGGGAAGGAGGGGAGGGCAGAGTCTAGAATGTGGGGCGGGGCAGGGTTCTCCCTCCATCTGTGCCCACTTTAAGGGCTCCTAGGTTCAAATCCCAACTTTGTCACTTACTAGCTGTGTTCCCTCAGGCAGATTACTTACCCTTGCTGTGCCTCAGTTTCCCCGTCTGCACCGTGGAGATGATGATAATCAGATCAACACTTCCTGGGGTTGTGGTGAAGATTAAATGGGTCAGTCCACGGTGAATCCAAGGCTGACAAAGGCCCTGGGGGATCGGGCTCTGCGGGGAGGCGTGCTGGGACCTGCTCTTCGGGGGGGGCGTTGCTGAGGCGGGGGTAATGAGCAGGTGGGGCTGCGGCACAGACAGTGGGCTGAGCTCAGCGTCTGGCTGTGTGGAAATGGCCGGGCCAGGGTTTCGGGGCCACACTGCTGGACTTCTCCTGCTGCTGCTGCTGCTACCCCAGGCCCTGACAGAGGGACCCCTGGTCTTTGTGGCTGTGGTGAGGTGCCCCACCCCCGCTGCCCGGCCCCTCATGTCCCCCAGGCCAGCCCTGACCTGGTCCCCTCCCCAGGTGTTCCGCCATGGCGACCGGGCCCCGCTGGCCTCCTATCCCACTGACCCGCACAAGGAGGCTGTATCTACCCTGTGGCCACGTGGCCTGGGCCAGCTGACTGGGGTGA